TATATATATAGCCAATAACGAGTCGAATGTGATTGAACAATCGCTTGTTCTTATTTGAATGCGAGCTGAAAATACCATTTTGTATTTGCTTCACTTAACAAACAAATCAAATATAAGTTTTTTAATGAGTTGAATATGAGTTATTCATCATCAACATGCTTTCTTTAAAATTTGTCCACAGTGGGCTTTAATTGTTGAATCAAGATTTATCTATGGTGATGTTAGGAGTCTACTTCAAGACTTGTAAGTTTTCATAGAATAGTGAAAAGACAAAAGACTACAGACGAAGAAAATGAAGAAAGAAAGAGAAGCTTTGAGAACTCTATTGTTATCATAATAGCCCAAAAAAGTTTATATCTCAAAATAGTCCTTTGACTTTTTATTTCTAAAATTTTTGGTGCTACAGCAAAACTTTATCTTAATGTTGCAAAAATGAATAAAAATAAATACATGATATGACAGTTACAGATCCGTAGATATTAGAACATTAATTAATACACTTGGATAGTTCTCGAGCCATGTGACTTGGAGAACATAATCAATTATTAGAGCCTAGCGAGTTCGTTGGGGTTCCTGGCAAGTCTGTCTTTTCCCATTAGCTTGCTTGAAGCTGGATCAAACCTGAATGAATGGAGCTTTAGGCATATTCAGGTATACACTGATAAGCAAAGTTTTGAATCAAGGTTTATAAAATCTTCTTTTGTTTAAAGAATGTTCCATCAGAGCAAAGAGTTAATTATGTTACTCAATTTACATCTAAGATTAACAAATACTTGAAAATATGATGCCGGGTTTTTTGTGTTAGGCTACTACTGTAGATATAATAGAAATAGAAAATCTCACCAAAGGTTTGCAAAATTCATAGGTCACATGCCATTTATTTTCTTAACAAATATTCACCACCCTTGATGAAAATTTTAATGAAGATTGAAAATACAAAGGAAACAAATTCAGACAAAAATCCAGTGCCGTATATTAGAAAGAGCAATTAGAAATTTATTAAAATTCTAGCACTTGTTTAAAATATATTAAAATTAATTGCATTCAACCACTCCCAATCCAATTACAAGATTTTGAACAAGAAAACAAGCCAAAGAAAACAATTCATGAAAATAAAGCCTCATTCTTGTACAAGTAGAGAAGCTCTCTCAAAGATCTTTTAGGCTTCTTAATCAATGAATATGGCGCTTCATGTTCTTAGTCTCAGAAGATTTCTTTCTTAAACTGTTTATATATCGAGTATTTTCAGGAAAACTTTTCATCCATTTACCTATCAATCTCTCATGTCTCGCCTTTTCACCTGCTTCTTTAGCAATCTTTCCCACCAACTTCTTCATGAAAAGATGTATTTTACTTTTTAAAAATACAAGTGGTGGTATTTTAATGTGATATGAAAGATTTGGGCGGTATAAATGTTACAAGCAAAAGTTTAGGTGTTAGATATGTAAATGCATAGGAAGTGGGTGGTATGTATATAAATGCCCCCATTCATTTAGTACTAGTTATTTATTTATATTAGTTGTTACCATGGAAATCCTCAATCGATTGAGATTTATATTTATGTTTGTTGCAGCACCGATTTGAGATTGAATCAGCCGAGATACGCAACACTTCCGAACATAATGAAAGCCAAGTCTAAGATTATAAAGAAAGTCACACTCGAAGAGCTGAATATAGAGCTCAGGTCAGATTTTGAAGTTTGCCGAGTCACAGAGCCACCTGCTAGGAAGGCCGGCACAGTCGTCTCCACGGTTGATGAACTCATTAGTAAGTTAAAAAATGAAGCCCGTATTCTCTAGGTTATTCTCTACTTTCTGTAGAATGTGTCGGACAAAATGTGAATTTGGCATAATAAATAGAGGCATTTACATACATATCACCTAATTCCTATGCATTTACATATCTAACTCCTAATCTTTACTTTTTTACATTTATACCACCTAAAGCTCTCATGTCACATCAAAAATACCACCATTTTAACCTTTAAAAATTTATGCATAAGTCAGGTGGTATGTATGTTAACATTGAAGTTTAGGTGTTAGATATGTAATTACATAAAAATTGAGTGGTGTGTATGTAAATCTTCCTAAAGTATACAGGAAGTGCATTTCAGGCAAGTGTGTCGTGGGATGAGTGAAATAATAGATTTTGTTAATTAAAGTTTGAATGTGACAATTGAATTAAATTTTTATTTCTAACATGAAATTCGTTTATAATCAATAGAAAGTTATGATATGCAGCTGCTATTTCTAAAAGAAGCAGGGTGGCATGATGATTTCTTGTAATGTTGATATGAATAACATGCAGGAATAATGATGAACGTTGATATATGTGTGCGTTTTTTATGGGGCATAGATTGCATGATTAGTTTTTGACGGTGTTATTATTTATTACCATTATGTATCTGCTAGCAATTTTGGTTTGTGCTCATGCTTTATTGCGGCTTATATTCTGGGACATGTGTTCTGTTCTGATAAATCAATCAGCATTGCAATAAAGCTATTACAAATTTAACCTTATTGTTTATGCTCTTGTTGTTATTCATGTTGAGGAAAATATTGTTGGATAGAATAAGAAGATGGGTGTTTGCTTTGTTCAAAAATGAATGCAATGTAGGAAGAATTCAGTATAATGAAGGTATAGTGTATTACTATTTTAAATTTGTTTGGGTCAGTGTAAAACAAATGCATGCTAGAGATGTTTGGTTTAGAGCAAAACAGGTGCACATTTTTTTCTATTTTTTTGTTTGGTTTGAAAAAAATATTAAATCGATGTGAAATATAGGGTGGTGGTGGAATAACTTAAACCTTATTAACCTTAAGACCTCTATATATAATATGGGTGTTAACATGTAAATATATAAGAATTAAGAGGTTTTTATGTCAATCTTCCATCCAAAAAAAAAAAAAAAAAAAAAAAAAACGATGGACTGTATCTTTTCTCACATCTTCCATGTGGGAGGAGATAGCTGAATCAGTCCCAGTCCTCGTCGTTTAGCTGGTCGTCGTACTCCTCCTTAGGCGGTCTCACCACCAGCACCACCGCCCCAAGCACCTCCGTCTTCCTCCCCATAGCCAAAAGCTTCTTCCCTCTCTCCACCGTAAGCTCCTTCCCCTTCTCCCCTCCTCTAACCAAGTACAACTCCCCCACCTCCTCCTCCACCTCATCCCTCTTCCTATCCACCACCACCAGCATTTCTGCTCCATGGCAGCACTCTTCCATCCACAAACTCCACCGCCACCCCTCCCTTCTGCCGCACCGCCGCCACCGGTCCCCAGCCGGGCAGCACCACCCATCTCCCCCATCCCTTATCCGCCTTAATCACTCCCATATCACCTTCCAGTTTGCACAAACTGGGCGCAGCCTCCACTCCCTCGCCGCCTTCTTCCGCCCTACAGACCGGCAGCAGAACCACCGATTTGGCCTCCGCGACCTCCCCGTACCTCAGCCTCACCACCGGCACAGTCGCCGATGCTGCATTCTCCATCTCCCCATCCTCCTCCTCCCCACCTTTCCTCCGCTTCTCCATCTCCTCCGCAATCCTTCCCGTCGCCCTCTCCGTCTCCGCCTCTTTCATCGCCTTCTCCAGCGCCGCCATCCGATCCCCCTCCGTTAGCACCTCCCGGCTCAGTCTGAAGTCCGTGTAAGCCAGGCAATCGCCAGGGGAAGCTGCGGAGAAGCACTCCCATCCCGCTTCCCCCCTCCGGCGAGGGAAATCCTTGATGGCGCGGGCGAGCTCCTGAGCGGTCTTGGGGTCCATGCGGCAGCTGAACACATGGAAAGCCGCGGCCACACGCTGTCCAGCATTGAGGAGACGGAGCTCGTAGAGAAGATCGGCGCTGGAGGAAGCGTCGAAGAAGGGTAGGAAGTCCGTCGGGAAGGAGGATGAGAGGAGAGATTCCCGCACCTGGGCAGCGACGGCAAAGCGATTCTGCTCGACGCCGGTGATTCCGGTGATCTCCTCGATGGAGGGAGGGGTGAATCCGTCGTGGGAGAGGGAGGAGATGAGGGGTGCGTACTCGTGCCAGAGACCGAGGCGGTTGCGGAGAATCTCGAGTCGTTCGACGGGGCCGAGGGAGCGGTACTTAGCCGGGAGAGGGGAGGGAGGAGGGCGGAAAGGCTGGTAGAGCTCGCCGGGAGGCGCCGTTGGTGGGGTTGAGGGGATCTTGCGTACGGCAGAGATGGGGCGGAAGCCATGGCCGGATGGTTTTGATGGGGAAGTGACTCGTCGGCGGAGGGGGTGGTGGTCGGGGAAGTTGGGGGTAGGCTTCTGTATCCTTAGGGAGAGGGCTGCCATGGAGTAGGGGGTGAGGTGAGAAAGCAGGAAGAGAAGCGCGGGCCTTATCCTTGTGATGTCTTGTGGTATATGAGATTTTATACTTTTTTTAAAAAAATGGAAAAAAAAAGAATTTTTGGTATTTGGGTCATTTACATAAATACCACCCAATTCCTGTATATTTATATATCTAACACCTGTTCTTTACTTTTTTTTTTTTTGTACATTTATACCACAAATATTTCTTATCACATCAATTTTTTTGTCATTTTAACTTAGAAAAAGTGAAATACACATTTTCCTATATTAGTAAAATGGTATGTATTTAAATTTTCTGTTATAATTAATATTATATTTTTATACACCATTTAAATATTTAAATCATTTTAAAAATATCACTAATATTAACCTATTTAAAATAATATTCAGATTTTGTTCATTTATTTTGATGTAATTGAAATGTTGGAATGGTATGTAGATATAACTTTTTTATGTGTAAGATATGTAAATATATAAGAATTATGTGATATGTATGCATGTAAATCCTCAATAAAAAATTTCAATGTTATGTTTTTCATTTTAATATTTTGAAATAAGTATATAATATGTGGATTCATCTCATAAAGCTATATTTAGTAGTTTATAATCATATATATGGGCAGATGCAATTTCATTGGATTTTAACTTTAATAATGAATAGGTCCTTGATATTGGGTTGGCAAACAATCAACTTACTAAGGGAAGCCTACTAATTTAAATATAAATGATAAGAAAGATGACATAAATATGATTGATGAAAGTGATAGAAGTAATAATTAGTCTTATAATAGTGATGTATACTAATAGTGATAAAAAGTATTCAAGGGACAAATTTTTAAAATATGTCAATCATTTCATGCTGTTTGCTATGTGCTATGGTTCATAAAAAATAAACACTAATTGTTGGTCTAACCAAATAGTTGGGATCTCTGTCTTCAAGCTTCTTGTTATATGTTGTAGTATCAAAAAAATTATAATAATATGCAATAAATATAAGGCATTCTAGATGGTTATAGTTGGTATATTATCGGTTAATATGATATATTATAGCATTTTATGTCACATTATGTCAAGCTTTTCAGCTTTACTTTAACATTACCACCATGAGCGAAAGAACAAAAATAATCAACTTGACTAATTTCAAGTAAGCTTTTGGGTACAACACCGTAGATGAATAGTAAGCTACCATTTTAGATCAAAAGTATGATTGCATTTAAAAACCATGCTTTGTTTATTTATCTGGCCAATTAAGAGATCTCATTTACCTTTGAATAGACTGTTATATGGTATGATATCAAAAGATATGTAATATTATGAAATATTAAAATATAGGGCATCGTAAGCGTGGTTGGATATATTATGAATTATTATGGTATATTATAGTATTTAATGATACATTGTGCCACATTTTTTTAATATTATTTTAGCATTATATAAATGAATAAAATTAAAAAAAATTTAATATGAGGATTGGGAAGATGAAATTTGCTAAATTTTTAGCGGGCTCTAAGGTGCAACCTAAAGGTGAACTATAGCCCATCATTTTGATTAATAATTACAACAATATATGAATGTGCAACTCTATGTGCCCCAAGTATATAAGAAGTACTAGGGTTAAGTTTTTTTTCAGTGATGGATTTAAAGTACTTCCTTTGTTATTAATATAATGTATTTGTGATATACTTATTTACCATTACTATCCTATGTTGACATTGTAATTATATTAAAAAGTATTATACAAAATGTATTTTAAAACAAAGCAGAAATGAGTGTCTTGAAGGCTATTGAGAGAGAGGCAGGGAGAGAGAGATAGAGGAATCTAATGTTCATTACTACAATTAATCGTAATTAATTTAAGATAATATATTGATTAATTTAGCATAATATAATATTATCTACTATTAAAGAAAAATCATTTTGATCATCTCTCGTCACTATATACAAACATGAGACTCTACTAACATATCACCCGACTTGATGTGGTCATGCCATCCATTAAATGCTGAGGTGACAGACCGGCCCCATAAAGGCCCCTAGAGAGGTATCTAATGCTCCTTATTATGCTTAATCATAATTTTTTTTAAAATGATATTATAATTAATAAATAATAATATAAAATTAACTACTATTAATGATGAATAATTTTATCCTTGTCCGTTCACATGGTATAGACATTGGACCCAGTGAAGTACCGCCCATTGATCATGGTGTGATTATGTCATCCATTAATGGATGAAGTGAAAGGCCAGTCCAAGAATGCATCTGGAGAGGAATGCAATGTTAATTATTGTGATTAGTCATAGTTTTTATAAGATGATGTCCAAACTAATTTAGAATAAATTAAGATTAATCATTACTAATGACATATAATTTTGAACTTATTGCAATAGATCATACAGACATGGGGCACCATAGACTTTTCACACATCGGTGTGATCATGTCATCCATTAATGACTAAAGTGGCATGCCAACCTAATAAATTTCTTAAGAGAGTATTCCAACGTTTATTATTACTTCTAATCATAATCATTATAAGAAGATGCTCTAATGAATCTGGCATAATATAAAATTCTTCGTTATTAATGACAAATAATATTGATATTTTCTCATACAAACATGGGGCTCATGATGTGATCATATTATTCACTAATGACTGAAGTGACGGGTCAACCTAATAAATTCATTTGGAGAGAAATCCAATGTATTTTCGACATCGTGGCCTATAAAAGGGGTTTAAGGATTAGTCATTCATTCTTTGTGTACAATAAAAACTCACTTCATGGGGAACATATTTTTTAAATACTATAAGTAAGTAGGATTTATTAAATACTATAAATCCAGATTTACTAAATTATAGAACAGTTAAATTCCCAAAAATAATTGTTAATGGATTTATTAAACTATTTGACAGCTTTTGTGAGAATTTAAGAGGTTGATATCTTCATTGGGAAAAATTATATAATTTTGATTATTTTAGTATTATGATAAAAATTAATTAACGAATTTAATTAATTCAAATAGTATTTCATTATAAATTATAATAATAATTAATAATTATATATTTATCAAACAGAATAGTTATTAATAAAAAAATTTCTTTAATTAATTATGAAATAGAAGTTTAATATTTATAAAAATATAATTAATTAGTTTCTAAATATAATAATTTATAATTACTTAAAAAATTATTGAATGAATATAAAATTAATATTTATTTAAATTAATTAATGATTAAATAATGAGCATCAATTTCTTTTATTAGAATTAATGAGATAAAATTTTATTTAGTTATTAATTATAAATGAAATAAATTAATTATATAATTAATGTGATAATTATCGGTTGTTTTTATATTAGCTCCTCAATTATTTGGTCTCTATACATGTTTATAACCTTGTTATTAACTTAATTTCTTACTTGTGCATATATCTGCACAAGTGTTTATATGTCAAGTTTCCCTTTTTTTGTAAATTCATAGATGGGTGCAAACTCATTATGAACTGCATACAGTTATTTTATCTGTCCATTAGCTTTTATATATCACTGTGAATAACTATTTAAAGTATTTTATTATTATTATTTGTATTATACACTGGTGTGTAGATCTTTCTAAACTCAAGTTATGGCTTGTATGCACATGCACACAACCATTTTAGTTCAGGTTCATTTTTTTTGTGATACACGTGAGTGCGCACAACTTTGTGAACCTAATTTGTGTAATTTATTTATACACCTATGTAGAAGCGCTTAAGTTCAAATTCATTCATTGTTTCTGTTAAATATTATATGAAGTTAATCTCTATTTTTGTGCAATTTTATCCTTTTCTTTAATGTTGCTTATAGGTATAGACAGCCCTATAAACTCAAAAAATGATTATGCACTCCCTAGTACATGTATTTTATAGCATGTTCTTTAATCTTTTGTGATGCATAAAATGTGTACAACCAAATAAACTTAGTTTACCGGCGATGCGTGCTTATGTAACTCTATTTTGCTGCAATTTATAGATTGGACATTACTCTAATCTGTTTAACTCATTTTATGGATTGTTTTTCAATCGTTTGGTGACTTTACTTTGAAAATTTCATCTTTTTGTTACTTTTAAATAATGACATAATGACCCCCTTCTCCAATTTACATTCATTAAAGTCACGCTCCTTTCTCATGAAAATTATTGCTCTGATGTTTCTTCTTGTGTAGATGAGGCTTGTGATGCCCCGTCAAACATAGGCAAGCATTTGTTTTATTCGACCTCATGTATGGGGAAATCCTTGATCCATTGTTCCTTTTTTCAGATTTGTTGTTCTTCTTTTGTTCTTTAATAAGAGTCACTCAGTAGTCAGTTCGCCTAAAGGTTAAGGTGTTTGCCTTATGTTAGCAGGGGCAGTTCTTATGGTTTGGATTTCATGGTATACTCTGACAAAGTTGGGGTTCATTTGGTAACGGCTTTAGCCACTTTAAAATCATGTAAATGGGGATTTACTAAATCCAGGATTTATGAAAAACTGAGAAGAAAACTAAGAAGAAACTGAATTTAAAAGTGATCTTTTTGCTGTCTGGCACAATTTAAATTAAATCCCACTTAAAATAATTACCTGTCGGCCCCTTATGGGGAATTCCTTACTTTAGCTGAGAAGAAGGGGGGAGGGAGCCATGTCATAATCATTATAAGAAGATGCTCTAATGAATCTGGCATAATATAAAATTCTTCGTTATTAATGACAAATAATATTGATATTTTCTCATACAAACATGGGGCTCATGATGTGATCATATTATTCACTAATGACTGAAGTGACGGGTCAACCTAATAAATTCATTTGGAGAGAAATCCAATGTATTTTCGACATCGTGGCCTATAAAAGGGGTTTAAGGATTAGTCATTCATTCTTTGTGTACAATAAAAACTCACTTCATGGGGAACATATTTTTTAAATACTATAAGTAAGTAGGATTTATTAAATACTATAAATCCAGATTTACTAAATTATAGAACAGTTAAATTCCCAAAAATAATTGTTAATGGATTTATTAAACTATTTGACAGCTTTTGTGAGAATTTAAGAGGTTGATATCTTTATTGGGAAAAATTATATAATTTTGATTATTTTAGTATTATGATAAAAATTAATTAACGAATTTAATTAATTCAAATAGTATTTCATTATAAATTATAATAATAATTAATAATTATATATTTATCAAACAGAATAGTTATTAATAAAAAAATTTCTTTAATTAATTATGAAATAGAAGTTTAATATTTATAAAAATATAATTAATTAGTTTCTAAATATAATAATTTATAATTACTTAAAAAATTATTGAATGAATATAAAATTAATATTTATTTAAATTAATTAATGATTAAATAATGAGCATCAATTTCTTTTATTAGAATTAATGAGATAAAATTTTATTTAGTTATTAATTATAAATGAAATAAATTAATTATATAATTAATGTGATAATTATCG